CGACTGTGCGAACAAGAAAAAAGGGGTCGAAAAGAAAGTCGTGCAGAGGGTCAGTGCAGGAGGCGACCCGTTACTGCAGCCCGGCACCACCGGACCTTCACTTATATCGTCTCTCGGCTAATAACGCTAGTAATGTGATATGATTAGCTTAGTTGAGTTCAGTTTAGTTCGTATTCGTTCAATTTAGTGGTTCGCCAGCAAAATCACATCGAGTTAAACCCATTTAGGCCAGTTAAGTTACCGACTTCTCGCTCTTGCGCGCCGGTTGCTGTCGCCTCCTGCATCCACGGATATCCTGCAAGCGCGATATAGTGCGCGCGCGCGTCCATGTTCACCCGTATTCAATCATTTTTAACTTCATTGAAGACCGATCCAGTTCAGATATACAGGGAAAACTGAAGGTTCTTGGAAGCTTCTTCTGCTCTTGGTTCACGAGTCCAGCATTGTTTGAAGATAGTTTGAATCTTGGAAATACTGTGACAGTAGAAAGGGTTTTATGATGTATATTATTATGTGATAATAAATGAAAGCTTCAATAAGAATTGTACTCTTGAATCAATAAGACTTATTGGTTAAACTAGCATAACTAGTAATCTATAATATACAAGTACACGTTATACGTAGCTTTTATTGTAATCTATTAAACTAAGTTAAGATGCAGCCATTATAGATAGGTGAAACTGTTTAATTGCAGAATTAGACTATCTTTCTCATACAAATATCTTTGCCTAACAAATACTTATCTTTGGAAATAAATTGATGAAGAAGTAAGAAAAGACAGTTACACGAATTCATATATTTTCAGACCTTCAAAATCGTCCTTCATTTAAATGCCATCCTTTTATCATGCCCAAAGCAGGCGTTTCTATTCGCGGGGATAATCACGGGATCCATGGGCCTGGAATAAACAGACTCATTAACAAAAACGAGGATGGACGCGGGAACGGTGGCGCGATCGGTTCCGCGCGGAGGCAACGGAAAAGATGCACCGCAAGAATGGTAGGGGAGGAAGTGAAGAGTGTGTCCGCGAGAGTGCAATTAAATCAGCGCGTGACAGGCGCGCGCTCGCGCGCGCTAATTACCGTCGATGAAATTAGCAGTTAATATACGCGTGTACACACGGAATGGGGGTAGTTTGATTGGGCCAATTCGAGGCAATTCCTGGCGATTGCTGGTTTCATTGAGCCTGCGCTTAAGAGCTCAGTGCCACGCTGCCGGTCAACGGACATGGATCTCTTGGAAAGTATATAGGTACTCTTACCTTTCTCGTCCTTCCGATCGATCATAATCTCATGAATCGATCGATAGATCCCGAACGATCTCTAACCCCTTGGATTCAAGTGTGTGTTCGCGGAAAGCAACTGGCTCGAGAGGACGACTCGACGGAATGGTGCGGAAGCGAAATTGCGGGACAATTCAAATCGTGCGTGTGACACGAACCGACGTGGAGAACCGTGCATTCCGTCGACGATGGATCGCTGACGCGGCGCGAACGCACGTCGATCGTCGCCGAGAGCGCATCGTGACTCTCGAATCGTTTGATCGGAGTTCAAGGTTCGGGTTCAAGGACTTTCACGAATAGAGACGCGAAATTGATAACCGATAACGGATGTGACCTGCAGTTGTCGGGGTAGTGATATCTGATAGAACATGGATTTCGCGGAACAATTAAAACAATTCTGGAAAATGAAGCGAGGCGCGTGGACGTGGAAATTCAGGTAACGCGTTTGCGGTATTTGATTACGAAAATTGAATTTGAATATTTTTAGGCTTATTCGTGTTATATTGTACGAAACTATCCAAGTCTTCCTCCACATGGTTTTGATATTTGCTAGTAATGCTAGTAGTGCATATAATTAAAAGCTTCGCGATTTAAGAAAATAATTATTTAATTGATATTCGATATTCATTCTTGCTCTTTTTAATTATTAACTTAATTATTTGTGTTTTAAGAAAATACTGAAAGATTGAAACATAGATCACCAATGACATATGTATATCATAACTGAGTAACTGAGTAACGTCATCGTTGGAATATGTCGCGTTAGCTGCTCCAATTTTTTGAATAAAACTATGTAATGAGTCATATCTGTTACGTTGTGCGTAATTATCTGTATTGCATTAACTCCTAACTGTCTGTAGAGTTTTATAAAAATCATTCTCTTTAAGAATGTTTGCTTCTATAGAAGATTTTATACATTTTCAATATCTACTTGTTTAAGTTTTAAAATTCTAATTAGAACTTTAGACAAGTCATTTTATTGTCATTTCTCTTAAAAGTACCATTATCTAAGCTTGTTCATCTTACTTTATAGCATTCCAGTACTGCATGCATCATTCTCCCTAAATCTGAATTTCAATGGTACCAACAACTAAACAAATCAAGAAATCTTGCTTTCACTATTCTGTACTTGAGTTTCGTCTATACAGTTAACAAAGATCCAAGGTATTCATCAACTTTTCTTGAATTTAACGAAAAATTTGAAGACACTTGCTATTGTTCATCCTACTTACATCCTGCAACAGAAAAAGAGAAAGTAATTAAACTGAAATTGTTATCGAGTCAATTATCCTATCACTATATCGAATCATCTTTAAAAGTAAATTTCTCGCAAAACCACCTTATTTCTGCTGCATACGCAGATATGCAGCGTATTCTCTCTGCAACGATCACCGTTCCAAGAAACATCGAGGTCGCCGTGGGTCAAATTCAAAATGAAATCGTGGCGCACAAAATTTTCCCATCGTTGTGGATCGTGCACAAGTCAACCCGCTCCGATTCCCACATCGTCCTCTCCCCCTTCAACATCATCCTCTGCAACATTACCTAGCACACATCGTGCATCAAGGCGGCGTTCTCCAACCTCTTTATCCGGGGGCGGTCGTAACGCGATGATGCGACATTGGCCATAGCCACGAGACCGACGATTTCTCGAACTCCAACTACGAATAGAGAAGACATCAACGAGAAAGATGCGGCACATATTTACCCTATGTACACCCAGCCAATACATAATGAAGAACCATTCCACTTGCAATTAGAGTGGTGAATGCCGGACAGAGAAAAGGCAAGAAAGCGAAAAAAGAAGAAGAATCAAAGAGAAGAGTGACAGAAGAGAGGAGGGGGGAGGAGGGGAGAAGGAGGTGACTCTCTTTTGTACAAGGGGGATTAAAAAGAAAGACAGACAGACGTAGTACTCGGATGCAGAATGGAAAAGGAGAAAAAGAGAAAGAAAGAGGAAGAAATATGTACATACAAGAGAACGGCACATACCGCGCCCGCATAAAACGGCCATCCTCTCGTGGAGCACGTAACGCGTAGTAGGTGCTACAGGATTGGTTGGTTTCTATGTGTGGGGGCGGCCTGGCCGGCAACCCGTTGAAAATATAAGCGTGTGTGAGTGTCGGTTGATTAGCCACAGTCAGAACGGATCGTCGCTTAGTGCGACAGTGTCCGGTTAGTTAGGCGGCTCTTGTTGTTTCGCGCGATCAACTCACCCGGTTCTCGATATATAGAAAATTGAGCAAAACTCGTCGAGCTGCAAGAGAAACAATATACATAGTCATTGAGAAAATCATTCGTCCTCTTCTCGTCTTGTTTTCTCTCTTCTTTTCGTTTTTTTCAAATTCTTTTTTTTTTTTTTTTTTTTTTTATAGAAAACGTTTCGATATTAACGATTTGAACTGAGTTCCCAAAGCATCACAAAGTCTGTCCGTGTGTCGGCGACATGATGCTTGGCTCTCGCTTCGTTAGCTACGTTAGTACTAATCAAAATTAATCATAACCCGGGCAACAATTGATCGCAATTGGCTCGGATTCCATTACGGAGAACGCGCGAACGCCACGACCGTCATCCTGCGCGCATCGCGCGCGCTTTTTTGCATAATTGGGCAGCTGGAGGCCTTCGCGAAGAACCCAAGGAATCTGTGATAATAAAGGGAGCAGGAAGTGAATAAGAATTGAGTATACTTGTCCAGGGTATTTGGAACTCTGAACTGGACGACTGGATCGATGAATTTCCAGTTGTTGCTATTGAGAACCAGAAGATAGAGAATAAAGTTGAAGAAGATAACATCGAGGAAGAGGAAATTGTTGTGTAATTTGTATTGGATATCTAAGTGAAGAATCAAATACTTGTTTATTAATCGCGCAAAGATTAATAGAAAAATTATCCGTGAAGCTCGAAGAAGATAAACAACTGTTAAAAAAAAAAAAAAAAAA